TATTTATTTAACTTTCTTTTTTTCTTTCTCCCTTTTTCTTTTTTTCTTCCCTTTTCTTTCCTTCTTTCTTCCCTTTGACCAGAGGAGAGAGAGAAAGAAAAAAAAAAAAAGCTGCCAGGTCCAGGACTCAAACCACGATCAGCCATGTGGGAGTCCAGCACCCTTAACCACCACGCCGGCAGGTGGCCCAAATTTTCCTTCATTTCTAAAGGATTTTTTTTTTTTTTGGAGAGGTTTTTGCCACAGGGCGTGTGCACTTGCCAGACAGAGAAAGACAGAGAGACAGAAAGCGAGAAATCACCCCCCAGGAGGGATGGCCACGCTGCAATCCCGTCTCCTCCATTCTCCTCTCGGGATCTTGGGCACGCACGCACATGCGCCCAGCATGAGTTTTAAGTCACCGGGTCCAGGACTCGAACCACGGTTGACTACATGGGAGTCCAGTGACATAGCCATTACGTCAACTGCTAGTTCCCTAAAGGATATTCTTACGAGGTGTAATACAGAAAAATGTTCTTCCTAAAGATGTTCAAGTCCTGTTCTGAAACTTATCAAACTCAAATCAGGTTTGCTTGCCCAAGTGCTATGAAACCAAACCACAGGCACACGGTGTGATGAAGCAAAGTCCAGCTTTATAGCAAAGCGCAAAGCGAGGAGAGCGAGTGGCTCATGCTGAAAACATCCCTGAGATGTTCCCCACATGCATTTATTTAAAAAAAAGAATTATTTTATTTAATTTTATTCGTTGTCATTACCTATTTTTTATTTTATTGAAGTTGACCAGGGAGCGACAAGAGAGAGAAGGAAAGCGAGAATGCAAACTGCCAGGTTTGGGACTTGAACCATAGTCAGCCATGTGGGAGTCCAGCCGCCCTAACCACCACGCCACCTGCTGGCCTTTCCCCCAACACCCTACATGTTTTTAAGGGCAAAATTAGGGGCAGAGTTCCGGAGTGCATGATCAGTTCAGTGATTGGCACAACGGGGTGTGATCACCTCATGGGCATTCTTGATTTGGGAGGTCTTAGATAATCAAATTTTCCTTCCGGATTTCTGGAGCCACTTGGCCTGGGGTCTTTTTTTTTTTTTTTTTGAGAGATTTTCACTGTAGGGCGCGTGCGCTCGCCAGAGAGAGAGAGACATAGAGACAGAAAGCGAGAAATCACCCCCCAGGGGGGATGGTCACGCCGCAATCCCTTCTCCTTCATTCTCCTCTCGGGATCTTGGGCACGCACGCACACGCGCCTGGCGTGAGTTTTAAGCCACCGGGTCCAGGAGCGGTCGACTAGGTGGGAGCCCAGCGACATAGCCATTACGCTAACTGCTGGTTCCCTTGGCCTGGGGTCTTTGAGCTCACAAGCCAGCAGTTTCCAGCCTATAAAACATCTTACATATTGAAATGAAAACCTTATCTTTTAAGTGAAAGTTTCAGAGGTCAAATGGCCCTCATTCATGGTCAATGTTGTTTTATTATCATAACCAAAGCCTGAAGTCTAACCCCTTACTCTGGGCCATTACAATGTAAAATAGACCTTGCATTCTGGTCAAACTGAAAAATAATAATGATAATAACAATAAATAAAGTTAAATAAAATAATTCTTAAAAAAAAAGAAATTGTGGATGGTAGGAGGAATTAAAGTGCTAACCAACTGACTTTAATAGGGAGAGTAACCTGAATGGTCTAAGTGAACCCAGGTTATCACAGAGGTCCTTACTAATGGGAGGGAGCAGAAGGGGGGATAGCAGAGGGATGGCAGTGTAAGAAGGACGTGGCTGGACCGTGCTGGCTGAAGATGAAGGAGGCCATGAGCCAAAGCACGCTGGCGGCCTCTAGACAAGGAAATAGACATATCCCTGCTGATTTTAACCAGTGAGACACATTTCAGACTTCTGACCTCCAGAACTGCAAGATAATAAATGCTTGTATTTTTTTAAAAAGAATTACTTTGATTTTACATATTCATTCATTTATTTTTTAATTTGACCATAGAGTGACCAGAGAGAGAGAGAGAGAAGGTGAGAAAGCAAGCCACCAGGTCTGGGACTTGAACCATGGAAGTGTCCAGCACTTTAACCACCATGCCACCTGCTGGTCCCAATAAATTCTTGTTTATGGTAATCTTTTATTTTTATTTATTTATTTATTTAAAGAATTAGTTATTTTTATTTATTATCATTATTTTTTAATTTGACTAGAGAGAGACAGAAGGAAAGTGAGAAAGCAAGATGCTGGGTCCGGGACTCAAACCGTGGCCAGACACCTGGGAATCCAGTGCCTCAGCTGCCTCACCACCTGCTGGCTTCCTTATGACAATCTTTTATAGTAGCAACAGAAAACTAATGTTTCCAGTATGGCAGCATTCTGGGTTGGTAGTTCTTTGAATACCTTAAGAACACTGTGCCACTTCTTTCTGGCCTCCGTAGTTCATGATGAGAAATCTGCTGCGGTTTGCATTCTCCCCTATAGGTAAGGTAGCCTTTTTTTCTGTTTTCAAGAGTTTTTGTTTAGTGTAACAGTTTAGCTATTATGTGTCCTGGTGTGAATTTCTTTGGATTAATTGGGATTTGCTAAATACCTTTAATCTGTAGGTTTATGTCTCTTGCCAAATGCGGGGATTTTTCAGTTCTGAATACTTTTACAGCCCTACCCTCTTTCTCCTCTCCTCCTGGTACTCTGATGACATGAATGTTGGCTCTCTTGTTATAGTCTAACAGGTCCTGAGGCTCATGTTTGGATGTTTGCTTGTTTGTTTTTCTCAGTCTACAATTTCTGCGTTGTTCAGATTTCTACTGTTCTACTTCCAATTCATTGTGTGTGTGTGTTTCTTGGTTCCTTTCTACTGTTGAACCCACTGACTGAGGTTTTTGTAGCCTTGGTGGTGTACTGAACTGCAGGGCTGGAAGCCACATGGGTTCAAATCCAAATGAAAGCCATGGGTTCAAATCCCGAGTCAACCTGAAAACATGCTGGGTGTGTGCATGCCCAAGATCCTGCTGAGCTGGAGGGCTCTGAGAAGAGCCTAGGACATGACGGGGCCCTTTTGAGAGTGCTTCTCTCTTTCTCTCTTGCATGTGCAGGCAGGTGCTCTTTGTCATGAATAAAATAAAAAAAAGACTACTTTTCTTAAGAATTTGAAGGTGAATGTGGACTATCAAATCTAGGATTTCAATAAACATCCGAGTAACACTATTAGTCCCTCCCCAGTACCTCTGTGATTATAGGCCAGACTCTGTGAAAAATCCTACCCCTTAGAAGATCAAAGCTCTCCAGGGCTTATATGCAAGGCTGCCCTCAAGGGGGAGACAGTTTTGTATAAGGGACAGGTATTTGAAGTTACACCTGGATTGAATTCTACTTCCTAGGTTCTGGGCAAGTCTGATCTACAAAATGGGGTTGCTGCTCCCCATCCTCTTTTTTAAAAGCAGGGGCTGGTGGGTGGCATTGTATTGAGGTGCTGGACTCCCACATGGTCAACTGCGGTTTGAGTCCCAGACCCAGCAACACAAAAACCACAACAAATAAACAGATAAATAAATAAACAATTGAAAATAAAAGCACAGGGCAACTCCCCCTCCTTGGAGGTGTGGTTTAGTTTATTAGATACTAGGTATTTTCCTTACTGTGATAACCTGAGTGGACACCCAAGGGCTGGGATTTGTGTTCTCTAGAAGAATGAGGGCAGTGGGATCGGAGCCTCTGAAAGATGGTGAAAAGCTAAGCAAAAGGAGGAATTTTGCAGTCTTCTGGTCTGCCCTGACATTGTTCCCCTGAGGTGTCAGGTGACTTCTCTGTCTTCCCAGGGATGACTTTACAGTGTCATCACCCTGTGGTTGCCCTGACATTGTTCCCCTGAGGTGTCAGGTGGCTTCTCCGTCTTCCCAGGGATGACTTTACAGAGTCATCACCCTGTGGTCCCCTGGGGCCTTTACCTTTGAAATTTGCAAGACAGACAGGAAACAAGCAGGGCCCACCTGAGTGCCACCTGCGGTCTACCTGCCTCCTCTCAGCACCCTGGGCTGGGCTGGTACTTCATCTTTTTGGTACTATCTCATCCTTGCTCATCTCCAGCTTCCCGAATCCCTCCCTTGGTCTTGGAGCCAGGTGCGATATCAGGGCTTGTTTCCCAGTGACCCTGAGGTCTGACACCAGAGCCAATTCTCTGGCAGATGGTGAGTCCTGAGGCTTAGGCTCATATTCCGTAATTAAAAGCATTTCTTGCATCTCGTCTGCCTTTCCAGCCTGGAGCGGTGGGAACATGGCCACCGCGGTGACCTTGATCAGTGGTGGGGCGGGAAGAAGAGTGACTCACTGCACCTCCTCTGTGCGTTTCCAGTTTGAGAGGTCCTAGGAAGCGTTGCACCCTATTTTAGTCTCTGGGATTTGTCATCATCCAGGGCTATTTTCCCCATTACTTCAGAAGAGGCAGAGGGAGTTGGGGCAGGTCTCGGTTTCCATGGAGATCGTGACGGCCAGCTAGGGGCAATTTGGAAGGGGGGAACAGATCTAGGAGGCTGAAGAAAACCCCCAGAACCGACTAAGGCCTTTCTCTTACCCGGGTTTGTTAAGACCAGGCAGTCTCATTTTACAGAGGGAAACTGTGCCCAGAAGTGTCACAATGAGCACCCAGGGAAGAGCAGGACGAGCTGAGTCCAGGAGCCTGCGCCCCAGGAAGCCCTTCGTAGAAGAATTCTTGGGAGTTTTCCACCAAGCCAGCGCTAGCGGCTGAGAACCGGTGCGCCGGCGGGTAGTGCGGATCGGAGCGCGGCGGTGAGTGCCCGACCCCGACGGGGCACGGGGACGCGTCAGTGTCCCCCCTCCCCTGCCCTGCGGTGGCTTCACGGTCCCGGGGGCGGGGCTGGAGCAGCACCCCGGGCGGAAGAGATGGGGTGGTCGGCAGCGCCGGAGGGCTGGGCCGGGCTGGGCCGGGGCCGGGCGGGCGCGGGAGGGGCCCAGGTGACTTGGGGGGGGAGGACGGTCCCCCGCGGTGCTCACCCGCGGGTGCGGGGCGCTGGGTTTGCGGTCAGGAAGCGTTCCCACTCTCCTTTACCCTGCCAGTGCTCCTGTTCAGCCTGGTTGGTGAAGCGTCCCCGTAGTCCCTTGGGGTTCAGGGGCCGGTGGGGGGGGTAGCTGTGGGCCAGCCCCGCCCCTGAGACCCTAATCGCGAAGGCCCTGGCGAGGCCCGGGCTGAAAGCGGTGGTCTTTGTAGGGGCAGCAGGAGGGTCCTGCCCCCAGGAACTCCTTGTGGAGGTGGGAGGGTTAAGCAAAGGCGCAGGGGTGGAGGGTGGTGCACCTTGGCCAGTGCAGGCAGACAGACAGGCAGACGTCTGCCTACCTCTCCTAGATGCCGGCCGAGTGGGGGGTCGGGGAAGGGTCTGGCTTCTGGACGTCAGTTTCACACCTTTGCCTATTAGGGAGCTGGTGGTCACCATGGCAATGCGGGAACTGGTGGAAGCAGAATGCGGGGGTGCTAACCCTCTCATGAAGCTGGCCGGGCACTTCACCCAGGACAAGGCCCTCCGGCAGGAGGGGTTGAGGCCAGGCCCGTGGCCCCCAGGAGCCCCAGCGTCTGAGGGGGTGAGTGCTCTTGCTGTGGAAAGCCCACGTGGGAAGGAGGGTCTGTTTACACACCTCGGGATAACTGCTTTCTCGATTGGTTGCAAATAATAGTAGTTTGCACTTAATGAGTGTTTATTAAACACTGTACTCAGCACCCTGCACCTTTTTTTTTTTTTGGCGAGGTTTTTGCTATAGGGCACGTGTGCTTGCCAGAGACAGAAAGTGACAGGGGGGCATCTGCAATTCCTTCTCCATTCTACTGTCGGGATCTTAGGCATGCTCATACACACGCCCCGAGCGAGTTTAAGCCACCAGATTCAGGACTCGAACCTTGGTTGAGTACATGGGAGTCCAGAGATATAGCCATTACGCCATCTGCTGGTCCCAGCATCTTTATATAGATAGAGACAACCATTTTATCTCTGGGGAAACAGGCCTAGGGAAAAGAAGGTTCATGATTTGCTTGAGGTCACATAAGTGGTAGAGCTGGAGTTTGACGCTGTCACGTCTGACTTTGGGACCTGTGGTCTTCATCGCTGTGCCATATTGCGTCCTTGTCTGTTCTGCCTTAGGTCTCCAAGCCTTTGGGAGTAGCCTCTGAAGATGAGGTAAATGGACCAGACTCTTCTCTCCCTTTTTCTCTTGACCTTTGTGTTGTTAGAGTATAATCGTAGTTCACCCATATTCCAGTCTTTCAACTTTCCTGATTAAATGAGACTTACCTGCATGTTCTGTCCTGTTCTTTTTTCTTTGGTCTCCAAATCTGTGAGAAGAATATTTCCTTTTATTATGTGCCTCCTGTTCCTGGGTTTCCCTTTCCTGGTATTTGATATCTCTGAGCTTAGGCCTGTGGGCTGCATGGGTTCATTTCTCTGTCTCTCTTCTGACAGTTGGTGGCTGAATTCCTGCAAGACCAGAATGTGCCGCTTGTATCCCGTGCCCCTCAGACTTTCAAGATGGATGACCTTCTGGCGGAGATGCAGGAGATTGAACAGTCAAACTTCCGCCAGGCTCCCCAGAGAGGTGAGTCCAGAGTCTGGAGAGAGGGGAGCTCCCCATTCTTTTGTATGAGTATGGCCAAGTGGGTTCCGTATTTGGGTGCTACTGAGATGCAGAGACAAAAGGAACAGAGTGTTTGCATGTGCACTCAGGGTCCTCTAGGCATCATGGTGTTGGTGACAACTTTTTTGTTTCTTAGTTCTCTTTCTCTCTTTTTAAGCCCCTGGTGTGGCAGACTTGGCCTTGTCTGAGAACTGGGCCCAGGAGTTTCTTGCAGCTGGAGATGCTGTGGATGTAACTCAGGATTACAATGAGACTGACTGGTCCCAAGAATTCATCTCTGAAGTTACAGGTGAGGCTTGTTATGGGAAATCTATAATGGTTTCTATGAGGCAAAAGTTACAGTGTTCTTATGACCCATCTTAGGATGTAGGGTGATTTCAGTTGCTTATGACTTTTTTGGCGTGTTGACTCACTTCTGTAAAGCACAGGACCTGATTTCTTTAGATGACAGCAAAGACTGAAACTTATATTGAATAGGTGGGCTGGGTCTGTGACTGCTGAAGAGAAGCTGGATCTCACACGGGGGCCATGGTTCGTATCTCTAGCCCGGTTAGTGTGAAGCACACCAAGCATGTGAATGCCCAGGATCTGATGGGCTGAAGGACTAGACAGAGGAAGGGAATCACAGCATGACCAGGCCTTGTGGAGGGGGCTTCTCTCTCTTTCTCTCTTTTTTTTTTTTTTTGAGAGCTTTTCACTATAGAGGTTTTCACTATAGGGTGCGTGCACTTGCCGGACAGACAGAGAGAGAGAGAGACAGCAAGAAATCACTCCCCAAGGGGGATGGTCACGCCTCAATCCCTTCTCCTCCATTCTCTTCTCGGGATCTTGGGCACGCATGCACACGCGCCTGGCGTGAGTTTTAAGCCACCGGGTCCAGGATGCAAACCGCGGTCGGTTACGTGGGAGTCCAGCGACATAGCCATTATGCTAATTGCTGGTTCCCTCTCTCTCTCTCTCTCTCTTTCTAAATCTTTCTTGTGTGTGTGCCTGTGCTCTATTATGAATTAAAAAAAAAAGAAAAATGAGAAAATGAAATTATAACAGAAGACTGGGTTTGAACTGAGTAAGAGAGTTTGGTTAGAGAGTAAGAGGGAGAGTGAGCAAGAGAGAGGACAAGAAGTTATGTCTACCTCTTTTATAAATAAAACTTCATTACTGTGATTTGGTGGGGAAGATCTACAGATTGAGCGAGGCAGTGTTGCTCAGGAAATGAGAAATATTTACCATAGCATCTGCAATTTAGGCATATAGTTATCCTGAACAAAACTGGGCCTTGGAGAGTGCAATTATGGAGTTGAAGGGCCTGCCATAAATCGTCTTGGAGGGCAAAGGCCATACCATGAAGATGATAACAAAAATTAATAATAGCTATGTTCTAGGCTTTGCTCAGCTGTTGGAGGTCTGCTTTCATAAAAATGTGCTGTCGGGCTGGCTCCATGGCCTGGTGGGTAAGGCCACTACGTGGCCAAACATGTGGTTCAAGTCCCAGACCTGGTGACTTAAGAAACATGCTGATCACATGTGTACGTGCCCAAATTCCTGAAAGGAGAGAGATGGAGAATAGATTTCAGCATGACCATGTCCCAGGGGAAGGTGCTTTCTTCTCTTTTTCTTTGTCTCTGTCTCTCTTTGGCAAGCTTATGAGCCCGTAGCAAAAATAAATACATAAATAAAGTTCTGGTATATTATATCACTTTGCAGGTAGTAGGGCCTTCAGTATTGAGTACACAAATGAGGTCTGAGAGAAGCAGCTAAAGGGAGGTGATTACCTTGTAATTCACTTTTTATTAGCTTTCATTTTTTTATTATAGCATTTGTGGCTGATACTGTTATGTCAGTAGCAGAGATTAATTATTGCTTTATAGACAAGTAGATTTAATACAAAAGAAGATTGTACTTTCAAATTTTTATTATTATTAAACCCCAGTTGTTTTTTTAAAAGAATTACTTATTTAATTCCATTCATTATTATTTTTTTAAAGAGTTATTTTATTTAACTTTATATATTTATTTTAATTTGACCAGAGAGGGACAGAGCGAGAAAGAGAGAAAGTGAGAAAGCGAGCCTTCAGGTCCGGGACTTGAACCACGGTGGCCATGTCGGAGTTCAGCATCCTTAACCATCATGACACCTGCCAACCCCCATTATTATTATTTTTAAAATTTTGACCAGAGAGAGAGAAAGGGAGAGAGAGAGAAAAAGCGAGAAAGCAAGTTGCCAAGTCCGGGACTCAAACGGTGGTCACCCATGTGGGAATCCATCACCTTTAGCCACTGCGTCACCTGCTGGCTCTGTTTAAACCTCATTGTTAAGATTCTAGAACTGAGTTTGAAAGGAAACTTGAAGATTAATTTTTTAAAATTGTAATATTTTACTTGGAAATAATACAATTACAGTAAAAGTTGCAAAAGAGTTTCTAGGCAGTTTCTGTGTGCCTTTTACCCGTTCCCCCTAGTGGTAACATTTTGCTTAACATTTTGTTAGTTTTGTGCAAAATTGGGATTTTCATTGGTACAGTCCACAGAACTTACGAGGTTTCACCAGTTTTACGTGTTTGTGTGTGTGCATGTATGTGTAGTTTCATTAGCTGTGTAGATTTGTGTAAGCCAAATCAGTCAAGGTACAGATTCATTCTATCAGCGGCTAAGTTTCTAGTCCCCCGTATTTAAATCTTCTGGACCAAATAACTTTCTATATTGTGCTTGCCCAGATTTTGAGATAAAACACATCTCCCAGGGTAATGAGTTTAGACAGCCTTAGTTGCCATGGCATGCCAGGTCCATGTAATAATCGTGAGACTTTCATAGGAAAGGCAGCGGGCAGTAGTAGCAGGTGACTGGTAACGGAACTCTGGGTGGCAGAGGAAGAGGCTGTGGAATAAAAGAAATAACAATCTCCTTGCAGCTTTAAAAAATTCATGATAGACGGGCCGGCAGGTGGTGTGGTGGTTGAGATGCTGGATTCCCACATGGCCGACCAGGGTTCAAGTCCCGGAACTGGAGGCTTGCTTTCTTACTCTTCCTTTCTCTCTGCCTGTCTCTCTCTTGTCAAAATTGAAGAATAATGATAATAAATATAATTAAAAATAAATCTTTAAAAAAAATTCATGATAGAGTGTGTATACATTGGGACAGGGGGAACCTCTGCAGGGTCTGGCTATGTCCTGACCTCCAGTCCTGCATTCCATCAGATCTTGGGCACTCATACAAGTGCCTGTGTGTTTTGGGCTGACCAGGCTGGAAATTCAAGTGATGGTCACTAAATGGAATCCAGCTTCTCTTGAACAATACATTATTGCTGTGCGAGGGAGCTGGCCCTCATTGTGATGTTTTATACTTTTGGAGTGGGTTTGCTAGGAGGAGACAGTAATGGTTATAGCGTTCATTACTGCGTGCTCTGGTCTTCACCCCGAGGTAACTATTATGTAGAAACTTAGAGGGTTAAGTAAGTTGTCTCTAAATACACAGTGAATAAGTGATGGTCTTGTGACTAGACTGACTGTAGAAACGACATTGTTTTGCTGTTTGACAAACACAGAAACTTATGGATAAGGGTAAGATGTTCTGATCTTTTGGTTTTTGAACTTGGGTAGATGTGTCTAGGAATGTATACACAATGCGGAAATACGAGAGGCAAACATTCTGAATTGGGTATTTGATAGCCGGGGGTGTCAGTTCTAATTATACTGACCTGTGTGGCCTGGGACAGTGTTTTTCTCCTCAGCTTTTTTTTTTTTTTTTTGGTGTGGTTTTTGGCACATGCCGCGTGCACTCGCCAGAAAGACAGAGAGAGACAGAGACAGAAAGTGAGAAATCACCCCCAGGGGGGATGGCCATGCCACAATCCCTTCTCCTCCATTCTCCTCTCAGGATCTTGGGCACGCATGCACATGCGCCCGGCGTGAGTTTAAGCTGCTGTGTCTGGGACTCGAACCGTGGTCGACTACGTGGGAGTCCAGCGACATAGCCATTGTGCTAACTGCTGGTCCCTCTCCTCAGCTTTGATTGCGTCAATCTCAGACGTTTCTAAATGGATCTAATTTTTTGTGGAATTTCTTAGAAAAGGTTGTGAAGGCCAAGTGTTATTCTTTTGGTTATTTGAGTCCTTTGTTGGAGCAGGTTTCCAGTGCCAGAAAATTCTGGGCCTTTGGCTGATATATCCAAATGCCGAATTATACCTATTTAAAGATGAGTTTTTTCACCTCTGGGTTTTTTTCCTTCCCAATCTGTCTTACGTCAGTTGCAAAGTCCAAGTGCTTTGTGTTCTGTTGCTTCATGTCTTTGAGAGGAGGAGCATTTCATAGAAATGTTGTGAATTCATGGAGCACTCATGGCCAGAATATACTTTTGCAAAACACTCTAGCTTCGAGTATGAAGTGACTGCAGAGGAGGAAGTGGGAGGAACTGGTTATTTTTCAACCAAATGAGACTAAGGAACTTGGAGGTATTTTACAGTCTATTAAATTTTTTTTAAAGATTTATTTTTAATTATATTTATTATCATTATTCTTCAATTTTGACCAGAGAGAGACAGGCAGCGAGAAAGGGAGAGTTTTTTTTTTTTTTTTTGGAGAGGTTTTTGCTATAGGGCGCGTGCACTCGCCAGAAAGACAGAGAGAGACAGAGACAGAAAGTGAGAAATCACCCCCAGGGGGGATGGCCATGCCACAATCCCTTCTCCTCCATTCTCCTCTCAGGATCTTGGGCACGCATGCACATGCGCCCGGCGTGAGTTTAAGCTGCTGTGTCTGGGACTCGAACCGTGGTCGACTACGTGGGAGTCCAGCGACATAGCCATTGTGCTAACTGCTGGTCCCTCTCCTCAGCTTTGATTGCGTCAATCTCAGACGTTTCTAAATGGATCTAATTTTTTGTGGAATTTCTTAGAAAAGGTTGTGAAGGCCAAGTGTTATTCTTTTGGTTATTTGAGTCCTTTGTTGGAGCAGGTTTCCAGTGCCAGAAAATTCTGGGCCTTTGGCTGATATATCCAAATGCCGAATTATACCTATTTAAAGATGAGTTTTTTCACCTCTGGGTTTTTTTCCTTCCCAATCTGTCTTACGTCAGTTGCAAAGTCCAAGTGCTTTGTGTTCTGTTGCTTCATGTCTTTGAGAGGAGGAGCATTTCATAGAAATGTTGTGAATTCATGGAGCACTCATGGCCAGAATATACTTTTGCAAAACACTCTAGCTTCGAGTATGAAGTGACTGCAGAGGAGGAAGTGGGAGGAACTGGTTATTTTTCAACCAAATGAGACTAAGGAACTTGGAGGTATTTTACAGTCTATTAAATTTTTTTTAAAGATTTATTTTTAATTATATTTATTATCATTATTCTTCAATTTTGACCAGAGAGAGACAGGCAGCGAGAAAGGGAGAGTGAGAAAGCAAGCCGCCAGGTCCGGGACTTGAACCGTGGTCTGCCATGTGGGAGTCCAGCATCTCAACCACCACACCACCTGCTGGCCCCAATCTATTAACGTTTTAAGCATCTCCTTTTCTGTCCGCGCATGAGCTGCAGTCTAGTTGAGGCAACGAAAGAGAAATGTTGCCTGTGAGCACCACTGAGCAAAATCCGAATGTGATGGTTGACTGTCCTTGAAGTTAAGAGACTGGATTCATGACCGTGAAATAATCATCAGCCATGTTTTTTATTGTATTAGTTATATATTACTTGTTATTTATAATTAGGCATATTCTGAGAGTCTTAATCTTTTATTTCTTATTTCTTTTTTTTTTTTTTTGGGGGGGTTTTGCTCTGGGTCATTTGGTTTTTTAGAGAGGTTTTTGCTGTAGGGTGCGTGCATTTGCCAGAAAGACAAAGAGACAGAGAGACAGAAAGTGAGAAATCACTCCCCCAGGAGGGTATGGCCATGCCCCAATCCCTTCTCCATTCTCCTCTTGGGATCTTGGGCACGCACGCACACGCGCCCAGCGTGAGTTTAAGCCACTCGAACCGTGGTCAACTACATGGGAGTCCAGTGACATAGCCATTACACTAACTGCTGGTCTCCTTTTATTTCTTATTTCAATGTTACATTTTCAGTGTCTCAGTTAACGTGGATTAGAGGCCCAGGTGCTGTAGCACTCACTGGACACTGCTGCTTGGCAGGCCGAGGCTGCGTGGGAGGCCCAGGTCTGATTCCTGGCCCACCTTAAGCCAGGCTAGGTGGCACACGTGTGTAGTTCCAGCTACTCAAGAGGCCGCAGGGGAATTACAATATAGCAAGACGCTGTCTTAAAAAAACGAAAACCAGCAAAAACCACTGCATACGTGTGCCATGTGCACACTGAGTGGAAAGTTCTGCTATTATATTGATACCGAGGGGATAAATCTACTTTCTCAGTGTTAAAAGCACCAGCAGTCAGATCTTCAAATTGGGGACAAAGGCTGGATGGCCATTTCAGGATCTGCTTTGTAAAGCTGTGGCTGCAGAGCAGAAGGGAAGAGCACTGTAGGCCCAGCCTTCTCTATGTTTATTCCTTTTTTAGAGCCTTGCACTGTCTCATTGATTTTTTTTTTTTTCCCCTGTTTCCAGGATAGCAAAAGGCAAAGTCCTAGAGGTTTAGAAGGAGTTCAGCGCTCTAATTCAGTTTGTTGTCTCGAAGTGTTTATTCTGTTGTTGTAGCAGTGCCCTTTGTCACTAGAGCTTCTAAGGGAGTTTCTAGAATTAAAAACATAGCTGCTCAAAAAGGATCCAAAATGATAAATGTTGCAGTAGTGTTTACCTCGGGGGTGGGAGGACAAGGGAGCTGGGAGCGTCCTGTGTCCTGATCCCGGTGGTGGTGATGTGAGTGTGTTCCTACGGAGAAGTCAGTCTCAGTCGAGCTTTGAACTTTGTACCTAAGTTGGATACACGTTTTGTACGTTCATGTTTGTGTGTTGCATTTCACTTAAAAGATGAAATTAATCCCCCGGGGGGAGAGCAGACTCGGTGTCTTTCATCCTAGGCCAGCTCTCCACTCCTCAGATGCCCTCGGTGAGCGTTAAGATGCAGCGAGGCTGCCCTGTCGGGTCGAGCTCTGGATAGTTTGGCCACGCAGCAGCCCTGTGCTCTCCCTGAGCAGCTTACTGCTTTCCTGCGGTACTTTGGGAAAGGTCGGCGCTCCAGCACCTACTGTTCCCTTATCGAGGTTCTTGTACTTGTACTTTAGGGAAAAAAAATTACTTCCCAAGCCTTTCCTGATCCCCCTTATTTGGTCTCCACTTCTGTCCCGATTCCTTGAGAATGGGTTCGGTATTAAGGGGGAACTATTGGAAATGGTCTAGCATTTTCTTTTGACCAGGAGTCTCTGAGGGAGTCCGCTGATTTTTGTCTGCTTTGGCTTGGTGACGGGATCAACTTAGTACATGTATACCTTTCCCGTTCCCCGACCCCACACTGGACCCTGTGTGATTACCCCCTCTGCTCCTTGCAGACCCCTTGTCGGTGTCCCCTGCCCGCTGGGCTGAGGAGTATCTGGAACAATCAGAGGAGAAGCTGTGGCTGGGAGAGCCCGAGGGAACAGCTG